AACACTTAGAGCAGATTTCCTGTACAGACTTGACTCTCTCTTTCTGCCCACCCCCCTCTTTTCTTACTACTCCTCTTACCCTTCAGCCCTTTCCTTCAGTCTCTCTGACTCCATGTCACTGTCGTAACACAGGCCAAAGCACAAACTCATTCTGTTTTCCTAGTTGGCGGTAACACAGTGGGATATATCCACACAAATTACACACATAAAACTCGTAAAGACTAGAAAATATTTTAATAGTTTCCGCACCCCCTTAGTGGCAACAAGCTGCATGTGCAGACCTGGTGAGCACCACCAACATTATTGGTGCAGTTTAATGTGAAACACAAGAGAGGAACATGGGGGAGTGGGAGCCCAAAATGGCTGTAAACAAGGAAAATGACACTTGACAAGTTGTAATTTATGGACGTCGTTTCAAAGGCAAGAGACTCACCATTTCTACAGTGGCAGAGTAGGAAGAATAAGGCACAAGGATCCAGACATTAGAGGAACTATTCACAGAATGTTAGTGCATCAAAGCCACACAGAGACAAAAAAAGGGAAAGAGAAAGCTGTGACTTCAAAGTCGAAGCATGATGAGCAATGCAGAGAGAGAGAAACCAAGAGAGAGACAGGAAGTGTGTGTATATATGTGTCAAAGAGAGAGAGAGAGAAAGCTTTGCAGGATGATTGTGCCCAATGCAAGCACGGGATGGGGGATTGAGGCGGGGGAGGCCCCTGGATACAGACGTGCTCTCCTCATCTCAAAGAATCCTAAATCATACAAACACACACACACACACACACACACACACACACACACACACACACACACTGTTGGGGAAGAGACGCCATTAAAGAGAATGCAATAGGACTTGAGTTTTCATTCCCTAACCCCATATAGAAACAAATCAGCATCACCATTTACGTGTTTACTCTTTCCAAAATGAGGACAAAACTCAACCCAAACAGTCACTGAAAATATGGATGCTGAGAAAGCTGAAGCATTGTCATGCCTGATGAAGACTTTCAATTTATCTTTCAACAACAGGAGCCAAAGCCAGGTGTGTGTTGCGATAGTTACACCTTGTGCTTTCTCTACAAATACACTCACTAAACAAGCTCAGTATACCAACAATTCCTAAATAACCTTAACGCTAAAACACCCCCAGTCTTTAATACAACTCACAGAGTCACTTTTCAATGTGTAATATTTATTGTTTCGTTAGGTTTAGGCAAGTTTTTTCTTCGGTTTAATAACTTAATTATGAATTATATTGTGGTTACTTGGTTGTGCTAAAATATTAAACATCCAGTAGAAAAATAACAGGGTACTGGTTTGAAGAGGAAAATAAAGGATTGTTTCAAATATAATGTGCTGACAACTCATCAATCCATCCCAGTGACCTCTATGTATGGATTTGTATGCTACTCTCATTCTCTTACTGGCTTCTTTCTATTTACTAAATACTACTTGCTTTGCAGGGCAGCTGTGGCTCAGGAGGCAAAGCATGTTTATCTACTATTTGGAAGGTCAGTGATTTGATCCTCTGGTTCCTGTAGTCTGTGTGTGAAGGTATAAAATACTCAAGCCTGGGTTGTTCATGATGCATCTGTCTGAGTCTGTGAACCATAGATGTAAAGTGCTTTTATGAATTTGTTGTTGAATGAGGTCTGTAGTAAGAGTGCTCATATAAAGTACAAATATAAGTACCAGTCAACTTAAGATTTTTATCTAATGAATAATATAGTTTGTTACAAAGTATAACAACAGACTGTAATCAGAGACTGCAAATTAAGGATGGTGGTAGACACTGTGACCTTACGCATCGGTTTGGAAAATCCAGTTTTAAAGTCTTCATTTTTAATGCAGCCATTTGTTTTTCTTTTGGAGAAAACAGTGACTATACTGGAACAGGAGGGTGAAATGCTCATTTATAAGCTTACACCAGCAAGCTTGTTAGGCATATGGCTTCCATAAAATGTGCAGAGCACAGATGCGTGGTAGTTTGTGCCAAGTAATATACAAACAAATTTTTTTTAAAAACTTGAATTTTACCCAATCCATCAACCCCACATGTACACTCACAGTTGTTATGAAGGTAGGAAACTAGCTATAGAGACACTTTTTGGCTTTTAATGTGTTTATTTCTGCTGCAAATATGAGCATTTTGCATGGGAAACCAAGGAATTGTAGTTAAAAACAAAACTTTATGTAATAAAGATTTGGGTTAACTGTAACAAGAACAATAACAAAAAAACTAACAGAAATGAGGTATGGCTCATTTCTGTGTGGTCAGATTTGTCAACAATAGCAGCATGGGCTCTGGTGTTTTTGTGTCTGTGAGTTAACACTCTCCACAAATTGCAGGCCCCTTTTAAACTTCTTAAATGTGCTCCTGACAAATAGCAACCACATTTAAACTAACACTGAAACTAATAAAAACTCAACATTGCCAAACAATAAAAACCAGCTGAAACCAGCAATTCTAACCTAGAAAGTGTCCGGTTGTAGCTGAAACTAAGCTAAAAATGAAGAGAAACACTCAAAATGAAATGTATAAATTTAAAAAAAAATGCAGGACTGTAATAACTTCGGTGGGGACCAACTCACTTTTGGTGCCAGCCTTAAGTGGCCATTCTGGGCACTGCAGTTTTCCCACTGCCTGTTATTTTAGCCCTGGAGTTTGCTGCTTGTTCATAGCGAGCTCCTTTCACATGCCACAAATAGAGTCATGCTTTAGGGAGGACAGGCTGCAGCATGTATATAACAGTGTAACTTTAGATCATTCTGCTAGCCCTGTGATTTAAAATGTCTGCTTTATATCAGTTTTGTATAGACAATATAAACAGAAGGAGCTAAAGTATTCTGACACTGTATTTCAAAGTGGCGTGTGTGCTTCAGCTTGCACCATTTTAAAACTTTTCATGACCAAAAAGATTTAATAAAACCTCTTCAAGTAATTTGTCATTTTTAGTCCTTTAAATCATGACTCAGACCATTTTCCTACAGAGAACCAAACCCCACTATTTAATAGTTTTTCATTTTCTTATCTGCTTTTCAAGAATTACATTTAAAACCAAATGAATAAAAGGGTCTGATGCATGCACAGCATAGTAAAAGATTATTCTTCAAAGCTGGACCTGCCAAAGGCATTGAACAGTGAAAATTGTTTAATTTTGGCAAACTGCAATCACTTTACTTAAAAGAACTGCTTTTTCGAAATGTGATCCGTTTGTTTGCATGGAATTCCACAGTGGACCAAAGGACCTAGCGGTGATTAACAAAAATTTGAAAGTCTTCACAGTAGATATGGAAGACCCATTGCCACATAAATACAGAAGTTAAATTTTGCAGTGTTGATCTCCTGTAATTTGCAAAATGACAAAATGCTTGTCTGATGCACTAAGCACCTTCAATTGCAACTCATTAACTCAGTCAGGGGGAAACGTTCTACAAGCTCTGAGAGAAACTATTAAAATACTTCCATTAACTGGAAGAATAAATATCCCGGTTTCAATCCAAAGTGTCTTCATTTGGGCTCAAATGTGAGATATGCCGTTGCTATGGTAATATGGCGATGGCTGTAGCCCTCCTCCCAGCTGTTGGTGGGTTTTGTGTGTGAGAGGGTAAAAGAAAGAGAGAGACTGTGTGTTTGTGTGCACGCACACTTGCATTGATGCTGCCTCCGTGCTGTGTTCCCCTTTTCAGTCTTCAGAATAGTGTCTCTACTAATCCGTGAAAGTTGCGGCGCTCTGAACCAGTGGCCAAGCCTTTTCCCACTGAACCAAGGCCCAAGGTCTGTGCTCTGCTTCACACTTGATTGGTCCCTCCTGTGGCAGAACTCCCCTCCCTGCTGGGCGTGGGCCCGTCCCCCTCGCTGGGCTGCTCAACGCTCCTTAATCACCTTCTCCCCACCATAATTACCAGCGCTGAGCCCAGGACTCACCACCACACCATTAAAGTCTGGCCAGCCTGTCTTCACCAGTCCTCACACATCCAGCACTTAGCACCAGCCCAGAGACAGGCCTAAGAGAGGCCCAAGTCCACCAACAGTGCACCTGTTCATGCCTGAGATGCCCCGCAGCACTGTGGACTTGGCTGGTGCTGCTGCTAGGGTAGGATAAAGAGAGAGGGAGAGGGAGAGTTGGCAGCTGTGCTGTTGTCCTCCTCCCCCTGCAGTGGAGGTGATGTGTTTATTTGGGCTGCAGTGAGAAGCTGTGAGAGGTAACTATCTCCTTGTTGTGCTGTACAGAGTACCAGAGAATCCACCCTGCAGAGACAGAGCCCTTTGATATGTGACCACTTCAAACCCACAAATACAATGGAAGCAGTCAGTTGTGGAAATAGCCTAAGTTGATGTTGTGTGGGCAAGGTGAGACAAATTTTCTTTGCTCAGAATCAACCCCGTACTTTATTTTTCTGCCCCTGTATATTTCCAGCACAGCAAACGTAACACATGTTGTCAATTCCAAACGCTGTGTGTAAAAATTTGAAATAGAATGCTCCCAATTTCAATTTAGTTGTGCCCACAAGGTCCCTAAATTTCAGACTATTGCACCATTGCTGAGAGCATATGGGACTGGGCAGGTGAAACGCAGTGACCTGGCAAATAGTCCAAAGACTGATGAGAGTCGGGTACACGTCAGAAGCCACTGGGTGTGCTGGCACAAACGGTAACCAGAATGTGGATCAGACAGACACCCAGCACTCGTTAGCTTATTACTCTCTTATTAGGAACATTTTTGCCTTGCATGGATTGGCAGAGTCCTGCTAGCCACCCTCTTCACATGGCCCAGGCTCTGTCAGAGCTGATCAAAAGACATTTCTTCACATCTCCAGACGCCAGGGAAAAAAGAAGAAGAAAAGAGGGAGAGAAGAAAAGAGCCAGAAGGGGGCATACTGCTCTCTCTTTACTCTGGTCTTTTGGTGAATGAGGACATTTCACAATACCCTCTCCTTTTTCTTTTTTTATTTCTTCCACTGCAAAAAAAAAAAAAAAGGAAAAAAGAAAAGAAAAACAGCACTTCCCATCGCATTTGGCCAAATTGTTCTTGCCATATCAAAAACAATTATCCTCAGGTGAAGAATGTGCCTGCAGAATTACAACCATTCCAGGGGGAGAAAGAGGTCTTCACAAATCTGACTGGCTTCCAGGCAGCCAAGACCCCCTCGAAGTGGTAATGAAAAGTGTAACTTTAGCCTCCCAGCTGTACGTCTCAATCCATAATCCTTCCCCAAAAACCTCACCGTAGAGCCGCCTACCACTCCCATGGCGTTCCCAGCCTGTGCCGGGCTGGGCCTACACTGATTTATGTGGCAGTCCCGTGTCATACTCTCAACCTGAAAAGGATTTGCTCTCCTATATTTACCAGGGTGGTCAGGGCAGCTCTCTGGAAACACAGAAAGCCCAGTCTCCGGGCCTCACTCCCGCACAGTCGTTTTACCCCTCTGTGCCAATAACATGGAGATTTTGGAGCTCCAGTGTTTCCAAAGTGGGGTGTTTAAGCAGTGCAGAGGTGAGTGTTTGTGTATTTAGTACGTACTATTTACAAATGTATCATAGCACTAAGATTTGGTAATTTGGCCTGTGAAGTGACAATGGGCCAACGCTGAAACGCACAGACCGATTACACTTAACCATGATTTTTTTTGTTGCTGTTGTAAAAATGCATTTATTGATCTTTGTGCAATTGCATGGCTGCTGCTCCTGTGTCATAATGGTGCAGTGTAATTTTCCATCGCAATGATATACAGTATGCTCACTACTACTTCAGGCTCAGAAAAGTGTTAGAGGAAAGTGTTTTACAGTAATCTCCCAGTAGCCCACTGCTACTTTGAAAAACTAGATTAAAAATGTATTAATTTCAAGTAAAAAATTCTGTCAAAGTTAAAAAGGAAGATAGTAATTGGTAGAATAATAACTAATTGATGACGTGAGTGTAAATGACAGACTTTCAAAGAGTTAAACACATAAAGAAAGAGCAGTCGTAAAGTAGGTCTGTCCATCACAGTTTTTACTCCTTGGTGCAGCGGACTTGGGTAAAGTACAGATTGTGCTACTTACCCCGAAGATGACGCAGGTTCCTAAAAGAGGTGAGAGCATGAACACATGTTGTTAGATGAGCTGTTGTGGATAGCGGTGGTCCACTCTGCCACTGTGCATCCACTCCAGTCAAGTAAACAAGCCAAGGTGACCTCTGGACAGCTGGGTGTATACATCCTGTGGTTGGTTGTCTACATGGTGTGGCAGTGAAATCAGCGGGTGGTTGACGCAGTCTCTAAGAATGGGATCAGCTCACCTTATTTTATGCATGTGTGTGTGTTGGTGTGGGTGTGCGCGCACACTAGTATTTGATGTGCCTGCACATGAATGTCTTGTATGCATGTACATTTGACAGCCATGTGGTTAATAATGAACAGTGAACAGGAAATGAAAGCATTATTTCTTGGAACATGCTCAGCGCATGCCTGATATAATTCGCATTTTCTGCTCGCCATCTTAGTTGATGGCTCAAAGTAAGAGAACCTGTTCTGTAAAAAATTTTCAAGAAGCTGGTGTTACCATCTCCTTAGCAGAAATTGCCAGAAATTTCTCGTGACCCTCAATACACATTTAGACCAATGCAAAATCAGACAAAATGGCCGCTGTTGCTAAGCTAACTGGGGAGGAAGAAGATGGAGCTGATGCTTATGCTTCTACATGAAAGCAGCGACTAGATGGTTGACTTCTGCAAATAGCGACATTACGAGGACTCTGGAGTGTAAAATGCTACATTTGACAAGTTTGTTTTATAAGCTAGATATCGCTGTAATACCTTTTATTTCAAATATACAGTATGCTTTGCATTACACAAGCGAATCACTTTGCCAAAGGTTTCGTTACACCACAGCTTCACACTGACTCAACACACGTGCAGTTTAGTTTGCTTGGCGTTGGATTACTTACAATTAATAAGACGTCGACAAAAATTTAGTAAACAAAATAACTATTCTTTTTTAACAAACTTGAATATTGGATTGAGTGAGCGCATAAACAGTTGAAAGCCTTCATTGTATGACAGAATGAAAGCCTTCAGTTTTTTCCCCCCTTTTTTTCTCCCTATGCATTTATAACTTTGAGGAATCATGGGAGAGATAGTTTTCTTGAAATCTAAAGGATAAGAGTGCTAAGTTTTTCCTCAACTATAGTTTCACACTGATCACGGTTTTTCAAGTTTAGAATGTGGAGGAGAAAAATTGGGTTTTACAGTTTTTGCCATCGTTTTCAATGTTTCTTAGACAGACAAACAGATAAAAGAAAGAAAGAACCAAGTCTTTGAAACTATAATGAAAAATTAAACTGGGAATTTTATCTGTTAAAATCATGGTAATCTATCAAATTAATCAGGCGTTATCTAAATTAACTGATTTTACAATGCCATTACACTAACCTAAATAAAATGACTGCTATGAAAAGCAAATAGTTATTGTCTGTACTTTAACTACAATTGACCTACTGGTTTAAATACAATGTAGTAAGATTGGTAAAGAACTGATGATTTGTGGGACATACGTCACTGTCTGCAAAAATACAAGCAACACCACTGACAGTTTAATGTCCTCTTTACAGACAATCATAAAAAAACAGATGGCGTCTTTCCTTTTACAAACTGGGAGAAGTTTCACATTTCAGTCCAGCAGAAGCATCTGATTTGAGTTGCACTTTTTGATCAAAAACTCTAGTTCTTGTTTATCATTGCATATTATTTGATTGAGATGAGAGCCTCCCATTCAAGACAATGTCCCTTGAAGAAATAAAAAGACTTGAAATAAGAGAATCTTGCCAATTAGACACGGAGAGTTAATGAATTTCATTGTCTTTTGATGCTGCACAATAAGTTTTGCAGATGTAAAAAAACAATGGAAAAGAATTACAAAGAATCTTATAAACAGATGGCTTTTTCAACAAGCAGCTAAACTAACAAAATGTATGCATAATTACTTTCTGATTGTTCTCTGTCTGACATTAGCAGGAAAACTTTTTTATTAATTCTTGCGAACTTTGATATCTCCATCTGCTGAAATTACAATGAAACTCATAGTGTTTGTTAAAGCTTTTTCTTTTTACAGAGAGTATTCGGATGTGTATGAAAGGACAAAACAAAGCTCTTATATATGTAATGAAAAAAGTTATTTTTGTTTTAATTACCTTTTCAAAAATGTGCATTGCCTCCTTATGCTTTATGTCGATTTTACACATTTATTTTTTTAAATCAGAACAAAACACCGAAAATACTTTTTTTCGATTAACCTTAAAATAGTTCTTGATGTGTTTTTGTTCTTAATGTCTCTGTGAATACATTTTTGCGCATTATTATTTTGATTTATTTCATTTTTTTCATTAAACTTTTTTTTTTATTTTTAAAAAGGCATGCTCTCCACCCTTAACTTTAAATCGCAACAGTAATTTCAAATAAAATTTATTTGTCCTAATTTAATTTCACTCAGCAAAAATCCGCGACTGAATATTAACATTGAACAACATTTTACCAATGCTGTATAATGTGCAAATTTTTGAAGTTCTTCTTTTTATTGATATTACTTTAGTGTTTTTCGGCACTAGTGAAATGCCAGGAATTTGAAAATTTCACGGGGACAGAAAAATTCAAATCACTGTTCCTTTAGCAAAAGGAACATTTCCGTCAACAGAAAACACAGTCTTGGAATTAGATTAATCAACAGTTAGAGTGTACCGCTAATAGGTTTTCTAAAAAGGGCATCTTTATTTGTATTTCTTTATTATCTTGTGATATGAGTATGCTGTGTATCGTGTGAAACAAAAATGATAATCACAATAATAACGACAATGTGACCAAAAATAAAGTAAACACCCCATCATTATCTCTGAACAGAATGCATTCAGGTAGGTGGCCTGCTCATGCCACATCAGCCTCATTTTCATTTCTTCGGGTTAAATTGATTCGCCTGAAGGTTGTGGTCAAATATTTCTTTAAATGCATCATGTACTTTAAATTAGCCCTACCATAATTCAGGTGTACAAAAGAGACATGTCAGAGTCAAACCACTGATGAGAAATAAATAGCTAAAGAGAGTTGTGGGTGTTCTTCAAAGAAGCTTCAATTTAACACAATCAAATTAAAGCACTCATATTTTAGGCCCACAAGTGCTATTCCTGCTCTCTGGACTTTGGGCTTTTTCTTTTCCAAAGATATAATTTAGGAAATCTGATATATTGTGGTGTGCATGTTTTGTTAAGGCAAATACATAATTGACTGTTAATAAATAATTTAAGACTAATAATCAGAAATATAATCAACATTTTTAATTGGAGATCAGGGAATTGGGAGTTGGGCCTTGAGTTTTCTGCACCTTCTAAGGCTCTATAACAAATGTATTATTATGGTCTTACAAGTTTCGTGACTACATGATAAATCTGAAGAGTCGTCTGAGCACTGCCAGACATCACTTTTGATTCAAGGATGTTATTTTGTATTTGCAAAAATGACATACATGAGATGTGTCCTGTGCAGATGTTACTGCCAGAGCTGATGCCCGTTTTAAGGACTCTGATGTGCAAGTTTGAACTGAGGAGATTTACTAACATATAGCTAGTATTTAAAAACAGCAATAGCCACATCTAGTCAAAAGTGAATGGAAAAATTGCAAAATAACACTTTCAAACAAACTGATATTAATCATATTAGTAGTATGTATATTCTGAGATCTTAAATAACAGGCATGTCTTTTAATTAAAAATTAAAATTCATCTAGTGTTATGAAACCAGACGTTTAACTGCCAACGTCCTGCCGCTTGTTTATGGTGACATCTCATTGCTTGGTCAATGGGTTCTGCCAGTGTGCATCTTTATTAGTTTCTATGCACTGCTGGCGTGCACTCCCTAGTAGCAGCAGGGACAGCCCTTATCCCTCCTCTGTGCTCCACCTCATAGTAAGCCTTGGATTTGAGGGACAGGCAGCTCAGGACAGAACAAGCGGGCCAAAGCAGCACGTAAACAAAGCTCTAAAGCATGAGGCCACACTCCTGTGTGTCTTTCAGAGACAACAAATAAACCACACTCACTTCTTGAAAAAGACATCACAGTTTATGCTTCATCTGCCACACAGCCAGGATTCACTTTAAAAGAAAGTTAAAAAAGTTAAAACAGAAAGTTACCTGTGGAGCGTCTGAAGTCAATCTTTGAACAAACAGCACAAAAAAGAATCCATCAGCCCAAATCCGCACGTGTTGGCTTAAAGTCTCCATAATAACATGGATACCGACTCCCTTCAATAAAGTCACTACAAGTTTACAACATTTTGTTAAATTATGAAAGACCAAAATAATATCAAATTCACACATGGCGAAACAGGCGATGTTACTACCTTTAAATCTGTAGAGTGAATTCTTCATTCCAAAAGGAGAAGTTTTCTCCCGGGGAGCACCAGGAGGTGCTGTAAAGCAGTTAGTCTTTGATATCATAACACCACCAAAAACAAACATGGCTGATGAGGGGGTCAGGGCCGACAGTAATGTATACTGGTTCAGAGAGTCAGTGCAACATTAACGTTTGTGGAGCACTCTGGGCCCGGAGCATCAATATTAAGACCCCTCTTCATGCCCTTCTACCTGGGGCTCAGAGAGGCGAGAGGAGATGCACCCTGCTATGACCTCTGCTTAAATATTCAAAGTCATGTCGAAAAATGTAGTGCTGTGTTGACTAGGAAGTATTCAGCAATGCTTAGCACCCCGCCATGCAACGTGTCACAATCAATGTAAAGTTGCATCTTTTTCTTTAAACTACTGGACACTGGTGTTATTGAATTTATGTCACAACTTTTCCAAATGCTTTTTTTCCAATGAAATATAGGCCACTTGATTACATTTATCTGTTGAACGAATTTAGAACATTTTCGTAAAATGTCTCAAGCAGAGGTTTACAAGCAGTTTCAGTCCTTCTTAGTACGTGTTTCTGCCCATTTTACCACTGGGAATGCTAGCTATGAAGGAAAAACCATGGGTTTAGTTGGGGGAAAAGTGGATTGATTGTGTCAGTAAAACAGTAAAAGGTTATTCATAAAGTCCCAGATTAGGCCCAGCATAAAGTGACAAACTAAAAGACGAAGTGAGGCGACCCGATCCTCCTTCATCCTCATCTGAAGTGCTAAACCTCACCCTGACTTTGTAACACTGAGGCTTGTGAGTCACAACTGTGAAGATATAATGTTATTTAAACCCAATCTGTCACCAAATGGAGCGAAAAAAAATGCTTGCCAAGTGCACAAATCTAACATTACCACTTATGAGACACACACTCCCACACACACAACACTCATACACCTCCCTATCTTCATGTCATTATACAAGCAAAATCGGCAATTAATAGAAAAAAGTGAATTCGTGGAGTTATCATTAACACAATCGCTATCGAAGGTCAGGTTAGGCATTAAGTAAGTGACAGAAGTATCAACACTATTATGTGACTTAATATGACACAATTATGTGAAATAATTAGCCCCTGTAACTGTTGGGTTATTTTAGATGGTAATGAGGAAACATTTGAAAATATTTTGTTGATGTGATAACTTACAGTAATGAATCACTTTTTAGCGAGGGATATTATGGCATCCCCCTAGGGTCTTAGTTGTTGCCTCAGTGCGTGACCCACTTTGCCTTTTGCTAATTTTGACAGCTCAATTCACGGATACCCAGCCCTTCACGAGTCTGCCACCTTCTGCAGCAATATTGAAGTTGGTGACAGACAAGAAACACTGGCATGGTGGTGCCCTGATGGTGCCCAAGTGGTGCTCTGAAAATGCTTGTTGCCACATGCCCATAATGGGTGGACGTCTGCTGGCTTTAATCCATAAAAAGTTAGTTTTATCAACAGTTCTTGACTTTCATATGGGCATTACTTATTTTTCAAGTGAAAGTACTAATAGTAATAGCAGAAAAAGTAGGAATACATGTGTACATTTTGCTTGCTTGCATTGCTATACCTACTATCCTATCAGCTCATTATTACTAGTAACACTTAAACAGCATTTAATGTTATACAGAGCTAAATTTAACTTAATCCTTCTGGGTGAGACGTGTAAAATACTTACACTGTAAACAGCCACGTGCCACAAAATGTTTCCATTTGAAATGCATGGCTGAAGTATAGTAATATGGCATGGAAATACGCAAGTTGAGTTACTGACGTAATTACTGTAATGATATTGCAACTTATATTTCATAACATGTTTGTCTGCGATCATGATGTCTATTTCATGTCGGTGAAAGTAAGCATTACAACCGGGTGTTCCAGTCGATATCGTCTTAGATCTGTCAATTTAATATACGCATTTATGTATTTCAGGGCAATGCCACACATTTCTTCATTATAAAACTTCAGATTGTTGTAAGTGTCTTTCATAGTTTTGAGGCAGTGTGATGCAACGAAGACTAATATAAGATACGTGAAGCGTGTATTAGTCATTTTCAAAAATATATAGCTTCCGGTGTTTATTCTAAAAAATGTGACAGAGTTCGCTGTTTATGATGCTTTTTTTTTTTAAGAAATTTGAGAAATTTGTCCCTGAAATGTTAGCGTGAGAACAGAGTTCTTGGTCTCTTTTCTGGTGTCAAGTAGTTTGACTTTGTCTTGATGAAGGCCAAAGGGTTCTGATGAATTAGTCTGTGCAGGTTTGTTTAACTCAGCAGGTCTGCAGTATAATAGAATGGACTAACGTAAGTAGACTTAAGATATATCATTGAAGCATTTGAATCTGAACTGCTGAGTGAAGCGGTATTTTCAGCCTCTGGCCACATTAAGAACCAAATCAACATGGCTCCTGGGCTTGAAAGAATAATAATAATCTAAATGAAGAAATTATATATTTCCAAAATGAAACTGGAAAAGAATGCACGGTGTGCACGTGGCAAACGGCTGTTCTGTAAAGACATCTGCTGATTACACAGTTTGGGGGGGCCTGGTAGAGAGGAGACTGGCAGAGAAAAGTGTAAAGAGATTGAGACCACACGACAACTGCTTAAAAGCACACAGCACTCAGGCCCTCACAGCCAGTAACTCCGAGCATGAAGCCATAAAGATGTGAGGGGGAAAGTTGCCTTCCCTCTATTTTACACAACAAGAGAACCCTGGCTTCCTAGGGTGGCAGAATGATATTAGGCCGCCAAAATTGAGTCAAGGGCTTTCTCATTTTTGTTTAGGTCTGCTACTTGGCAGGCACAGAAAATACCCGGCACAGGCTAGACTGAGTTTTTTCACTGCTGTTGTGGAGTATTAGTAAAAATAAATAAATAAATAAAATGTCAAAAAATCTCTATTTTACAGTCCTCTCTTGAACTTGCTCTCTGCATGCATCACATGTGCCATGTTCGCCTTCCCAAGATGGTGGCAAATTGGTGTCTGTCGGCGCTGACAGTTACATGCCTGTAGACAGGTCCACCAACATGCATCCCTGCATGAGCACATGTCAGCGCTCTATGTGGCAGGTGGAGACATAGACCTGCTTCAGGTGGCCCATGTGCTGCAGCATGGCTCCCCAGAGAGAAGTGCCATGGTGACGTACTGCAGATGTCTTCCTACATGTGGCAGCAAGATCGGCTTGAGAGCTATATCACAGCATTCACAGCCTTTCACCCAACAGGGTCAAATCACTCCACACAAGTGACGTCTACATCCTTCTGTTATGCTCCTTTTAGAGTCAATATTGAATCACCAGGAGCTATAACCTGTGTGATTTGTTCATCAGACCTGTCATGCAGTAACGTATTGTCAGGGTGACTTTGATGTAAGCAAACAGGAAAACATTTGGTTCAGAAATTGATGAAAATCTAAATGCATTTCTTATTTATGCATAAACATTCAGATTGAACTCGGAATTAATTAAGTTGCGCACTAAGTAATAGGCAAATATTTCCACAGTTATATTAAGCATGTTATCAGTGTAACTGCATCTGAGAAAAAGTTTCATGAGAGATTTGTTTGGATCGATTTCTCTGGTTAGTTACACACAGGCTCTAAAACTGACGTACAGATTCAGAGAGAAAAGAACAGACGGACCGGAGAGAGAGTCAACTATGTGTTCTTTTATCTTTTTCCTTTTATCAAATGTCTATAAATATTGGCTGGAACAACCTTTCCTCAGTGGGCTTCAGGTACTATTGTTCAGCGCGAGTGCTCATTATGACTGAGCTCAGTGTTATTTTGAAAGACAGAAATCTGAAACGGCTTCTCAATTTGCTACAGGGCAAATGTATTTTCTTTTAAATCTGGACATAACTAAATGTACACAGCGATGTTGACTTTAAGTCGATGTTTATGCAGTATTTATGCATAATTTAGCACAATCCATTGTAAAAGGACTTGTTTACAATAGGTTTGGATTTCATCACCACATCTGAGGTGTCTGGTTCTACCTCTTTTTAGCCATATGTGACTGTCTGATCATATGTAGTCAGTGTGTTTTATGTGTGTTTTTCCTAATCCTCCTCTGCCTCTGTGACCTCTCACCCAAGCTCTCTCCTTTTCTTTGTTGTTCAGGTCAGAGTCCATGTACTCACGCCAACACAGCCACATGGCCACGTTTTGGTATGCAGATACACAGACACAGGTAAGTCTGGTCCAGGTGCACCCCACAGTGATCCTGACCCACTCTGGTTCACCCCGCAGCTCTCAGGTCAAGCCTTGGGCCCAGCAGGTTCCCAGCACAGGTCACAGAAGGCCTCAACATCCCAGAGATGAGACTCCACACTTGCATGAAGAGGAGTGTTTGATGTGTCCCTTAGCTGGGATGTGTTACCATGTTACTATGCCTTTAATTAGCTCCAGCAGCTGCTACTTCCTGGTTGACAGGCCCTGGCAAACTCCACTGTCTCTGTAATCTCTTACAGGTGACTGTCAGTTACATGTCAGATGTTGTATAGTTGCTGGGATGTGTGTTCTCCTTTAAGTCTAATTAACCGTGAAGTGACAGTAGACAAGAGTAGTAAAAAAGAAAAAGAAGTGCTCGCGCTGCTGTAATGACCACAGCATGTTTCCAAATATGTTATGCAAATACGTCTCCAAGTGCCAATTCCTGCCCATTATTTTTTACAAGTTTCGTGTCTGGTTTCCGAGGATGCAATCATGACAAAGAGATAGCGAAGTTCTCCTGGTGACAGTAAAAGTGCCACTCTGCATTCTTTATGTGGATTTCCAGCTTGCACAAGACATCTTAACCACTGGAAATTGCCCTCTGAGGACTGACAGCTAAAAATTTATCTCAGATTAGATGATTGCACCTTGTTCCCTGCTCTTCTTTGTCACTCCCAAGTTGGGGGATCTTTCCTTAAAACTCCACTAGAGATGAAAAAAGGAGACTTCATAGCTGGCTATGGCATACTAATACCCTGGACTCATTAAATTAATGGGGGCCAGATTCCTCTTACTGAATGTGCACTGATGCCCTTTGAGTTTGCCGGGGCTAGAGGGTGTGCAGCACTTTGAAAGCCCTGACCGGCATATTGAACATGCTTTAATAGAACCCTTTTGAGAGTCCTGGTAGGATGCTCAGTAACTCTTTGCCTTTAAGTTCCCGCACCTCTCTGTGTGATCTCGTCAGATAGCCACTCTATCCTCGGATTCAGGCCTGGAGAGGGGGAGGGGACCTTGCACATTAAATGAGACCAGAGGTGTCCATATCTCAGCAGAAGCCATTCTTTCCTGGAGATGTGAATCTTTGAGACATGGTGCTGAGAAAGCTTTGATGTAGAACGGTGCTCAGTGTAAGACTCTGAAACAGGAGGCTTACAGGCCGGTATTCAGTGGGATTCCCCTTCAGGGAGGAGAATCTGGGCTCTCGTTGGACATTCGTGGAGCGTTGATTTAATTAGTCTATTCTGCTATCCATCCAAGCACTTGAGGCACAGGAATAAAATTCCGTCCGGCAAATGGCCATTACGAATGTCACTGTCCATTTAATGTGAAGACACCACTATCAATCGCTCCATAATCTAGGCAAGCCAAAGGAGTTTAAATAAAGATAAGAACAGCAAAGAAAAGTATATTGTTTTAAATACAATACTGTGTCACAGTGAATGCCTTAAAATAATGGGAGGAATAGAATATTAATACATGATTTTGCATATTTGCCTGACAGCAAAAAGATGAATTGATAAGACAAGAAAGCTGTTGAACTCTAATTTGCATGATAAAAAAGTCCCTTTAGAGTACCCTCGTGACTGTTGGAACCACAAGTACCAGATGTTAAGATAGAGCAAATCTACCTCAGTGAAATGAAGATATTAGGCTGGAGAATCATTTATGATTTAATTATTTCAATATTGGTGTTCTAGTAAGGCCCAAACCATGTAGCTTTTTGCTCAGCTCTAAGGATATTTTGATAAAATGATAATCTTCCTCTCTTTTCTGCTCTGTCATCTTGGCTGCACACTATTGAACAGAAACATCACTGACAATGATGTGATTACACAGTCCAGTGTGAGGTAGCAAGACTCATCCAGATGGGCTGGGGGAAAAAAACTCTTTTAAACCCAGCTGAATAAGGCAAGCATCTATAGAAGCACACTGACAGAGAAGATGCAATGCATGAGCCAGACAATGAGCCTCTAGCTGTTGCACATAGCGAATAAACAGAAATCCAGTTGAACTAAAAATGGCTGACTCAGACACACAGTAGAGATAGCATCACATCTCCTGCTATAATTCTCCATATCTCTCCCTCTCCCTTTTGCATACGACAAAACAGCACCATATACTTCTTACAGGAAACCATGTTGGGCAATCATTGATTTTCATAGCTAGCTTTGACAGTAATGATTTCATAAAGCCTTTGATTTTAGCTCAATCACAATGGCTGCAACATTGCTGGATACCTCACCTCATTAGCAATTCCATAAGCAGAGAGTGATGCTCTGTTGTAGCTGCTGATACTTACATGCCTCCCACTCTAAAGTGTGGCGGTAATTTATTCTCTCCCCAGTGCTCATCATCCTGATGCAACTCACACAGTGACAAGAATCCATCTCGTAGTACCTGGCAACAAACCGGAGGGGGGGAGGGGGACAAAGGAGGGGGATCACATATTTTGTGATCACAATCAGAGGCGTGAGGACAGTTACTAGGAAGGTTTAAAACGTCCCAGTGTCATAAAACTCCCACTAGAACACCTTGTGAAGAGTAAAACTGGTCTGATTTATCATAGACATGATCACTCGTTCAACAGGTCTGACTGAGTTTAAATATTTTCAAGAGCAAAGGTAAAGAACAGTTCCCAGATTTGAGCACATATAAGCCATCTTCTGATGCCAGAAGTTTTTCTCAGAGTCTGGCTTAAGCACTTCAAAGTTATGTAGGCTACTATATAGAGAGCACGATTCATTTGGCAGCTTGTATTGTCCAGCTTCAAAAACCTAAAGCTAGCCAAAGACACACTGTGGGCCGTTTTCAGCTTCAGAGAAGAGAAAGAATTTAGCTTGAGCTTAGGGCACCCTTCCCCATCCAGAGATGGGCTTTTTTTCATCTTTTCGTAGTCTTAGAGCATTGGTGTGGTGACTATGTGCTTCACAGGTGGGAGTCTGCCTCTGTCAAATGAGGTAGTTCACTAAGGATGGGATTTGCCGCTGTTATTTTTCTATTAGGGAAGAATTATGCTAAGCCTTTAGAGGCCATCTTTGTGTTGCTATGGCAGCCCATATTTCCTACCGGGTTGCGACCTTGAATGACTACAGTGCAAAGCCAAGTAGCCCCAAAACCCTTTGAGGATTAGAACCAGTGTCTCATAGTTATGCAAAACGCCTGTGATATGATTGAACCTTGAATGGATGAATGACAAAGTTTATTGAGATTGCCTCTCTTTTCTTCTGATTGTCATTTGATCATCCCAATCACTTAGCATGCCTTTAAATGCAGCCTTTCAAACGGCAATTGTTTGGGATAAGTTTTCATGCCCACCAACCTTACATTGTTAACTACTAAACCAGTAAAAACAAGATCATTTGTGCTTGTACAAATGTAACTCTAGGGCTGGAACTATTGACTAACATTCATCTTATGTGATAAAATGAATGGAAATTCTCACATGATTTCCTCTTGGATTAATAAAGTATTCTGATTATGGTTCTGATGACTGAAAACAGTAAAAAGTATGTATAAGCCACGGTGACACCTTCAATTTGCTTTCTATGTCTAATAGTCAAAAACCAAAAGGTATTTAGTTTTACAACTATGAACACACCAAAAAGACGCAATGCAGGTTTATGAGAAAATGTTGCACATTTTTCAAATGAACATTTGATTAAAATTTGGTGTTTTTTTCTATTACTAGACTAATCAATTTTAGCAGTAAGTCAGACAAATTGGTACATTTATTATAAACACAATGGTCTAAAAGGGGTAATGTCCATTTTGAAACTGATTTTTCTCTTCCTGTCTTGTGCTGATAGATTTTTTAATCATCACCACATACTACTGCTGGAGTTCTAGTGCTGGATTGCAATTTACAGCTGACTTGGATGTTTCTTTCTGCGGCTGGCTATATCTAAGCTTACTAACATTTAATACAAAGTTGAGGTAGAAATATAGTTTGTGCTTATGGATCAAATTAAATGCACAACCAAATCAATGATTTATTTATTTTTTCCAATTTAGAATTTGTTGCAAACTGTTTTCAAACCAGCCATCAAAGCCTCAAGTCTATTCGGAGGCATGTATAGACAGCTACTCAAAGCTGACACAAAGATGAGGCTTTGAAAGTATGAGATTGACACTATTGTGGTCACAAAGCACAACAGGAGACTACTTTGAAGAGGAAAATGCTTTGAGTATTGGATTTCACTTCAGAAATAGTGGCCAAAGACAAGCTCAGCTACTAGACGTGTTGAATTGGTGTACATTAAACAACAAAACCACGTACACTATATGCCACTTCCGTGTGTCCAAAAAGAAATACGGAAAGGTTAAAACTCTGGTGTTAAAGTTTTGAAACTGCAGATAAATATTATGCACTAGGCTTTTTTTCTGTCTTCTGTATCTTGGGATGGTGAAGACTTAAGATGCATAAAAACTTGACAATATATCCAAGCAATCCTTACTTTTTTACTTCACAAAATAAAGTGCAGCTATCATAGCCACGTCTTGTTGCCAGTTTGGGAATTGATCAGTCTCAATTCCAAGCTGTATCTTTCTCAACTGGCAGGTCTCCTGAAGTTGACACACTGTCTGACAGTGTCTTGTCAATGACTGAGCTTGACTGAAATCCCCAGCCATGTTTGCTCACTGCCAAAGTGGTATCTATCATCTTATTTTTGACAAATTCGTCACACACATCTCTCAATCTAATTGGTCTTTGAGGTTCCTGTAAGACAAAGACTGCTAATCTTAGTGTGAGCGTTTGAACGGCGCTTGCCATTGAATACTTCTCAAGTCTTTGAGCTTGTGTTCAGCGAAGTTTGAAAAACATGACAGTCACATTTTAGGTGCTCTGATGTCACACAGTCTTTCTGGCTTAAAAGTTCACTCAATATGAGGTTTGGTCTACTTTGATGTGGGGTCTCTAGTGATGCGATTTTAGCATGCTATCTGCCTCTGCTGTTCTCTGTCACCCACTCCTGCAAAGACTGACGTGGGAGCTGCCAGAGCTGAGATTCAGCCTTTTATTCCTGGTGACTACAAATTAAAGATATGGGGAAGGTAAATTCAGGCAGCACCATGACAAGCAGAAGGTACAAACTTCTGCCAGTATTTACTCCTGCGAGAGACACTATACCTAAAAACCTGAAATATAGTCTGGCTCAGTCGTAGATGTTTTTTTTCCCCGTTTTGTTTATAAGACGACAAAAATGTTATTTTTAATGTCTAGTGATCGTGAAGAGCTTCTCCTGCTTCAAATGGCAAGAAAAGCAAAGCTATCAAGCGCTGTTTTTGTAATGCATCTCCAGATTAATTTACATAAACAAGCTCACCTGCTTATAAACACCCTGGAAAACACGCAGGGAAGTTTGTTTATGACTTATTAATTTAAGTTTAAAATACCCCTCTCCCAAACAACTTACAATTCATTTCCTGCACATTATGCAACGTTCCCCCGTCTGAACCTGAGACTGTGAAGTAGCAGCTCTGCGAGGGGGGGTAGAAACGCTGAAACGACGATAAAGATCTAGTAATCTTGTTTTATGCTTATGGCGTCGAGAGAAGATCCTCCGCCCCCCTGCGACGCGACGCTCACCTGAAGAAGCTACCGGAGCACCACATGACTCCTCTGCTGCTCACATCACCGTGTCCTGAGAATGGGGATTTAGTGAGGATTAAAGCAGAATATTTCAATTTAGCGCCGGAATTTACCTGGCTGTGCCAAAGTAATTACCTACCCCTTCTGGAAAAAATGCAGTTATGGAAACAGTGAAACACACCTACAGACGGGAACGACGTGAATGGCTCTAAGTCGAATAAAGAGGAAATCTAGGACGTTAATGAAAGTAATTAAAAAACCCGTGTCGGTTGCCAAATCTCTTCATTATATAATAAATAGTTAATAGTGTAAAATAAAACAATGTGCCATTCGGTGTTAGTCCTGTTCGTTAGGTAGCATATTGTGTTAACCCTTTATGTTCTGGAACATTATCATAACATCATTTTTCAGTTTGGACTGGGAGCATAGTCTGTCGAAGACTCCTTAAAACGGAAACGCTATTTTATTATTATTATTATTATTATTATTATTATTATTATTATTATTATTATTATTATTAATAATAATATTATTTTGTTTAAAACATTTTTTAACATTATGAGGTTAAATAGATATAGAGGCGAGATATCATTTGGAAATTTCACTGAGTATAAAAGGAAATATTCATATTGGATAGAAAATTATAATTGTGGGAAACCTGGTGTAGTTTCAGTGTATGTGTGTAAGAAAATCGCAAAGGAAAATATAGGTTTATAAAACTTTAATATATATATTCACATATGTGCTATTATTATTATATAGGCCTATTTGTTATATCCTGTAAAAGACATTTTTAAACTTAAAGGCCGGATTTGAAATCATAATTTTAATATTACAATACATTAAACTGAGGTTGTTGCTGTAAGCTAAATATTAGAGTACAGTTGAATTATTTGTACATTTACCGTCCTGCTACAAAATAGACGGAATGTGATGTTTTTTGTAATTTATTCTTTTTTGACTCATAACATGTTGACTTAAGTTTGTTGCGCTCAAATGTAATTAGTGGAGTCCCTAGGTGCAAGCTTCTTCAGATTAAAGCTTTTATTCATCTGTGTGATGTGTTTAGGTGCTGTATGGAGAACTGCGCCAGCTCATTTGCTTTAGTTAAAAAATGAAAGAAAGAAAGAAAAAAGGCCTGAATACAATTAGGTGTTGTCTGTGGTTATGATTTATTTCATTGACCAGTTATGACCAAATATACAAACAAAAGGCCTTCATGTTCAAATATAAATACGTTTAGCTCTTTGATATGATAACTTTACACATTTTGTTGAGTAATATTTTCCTTCACTGCAAAATAAATGCTTAAATAAAGTGGAATGGTTCCTATGAAAGTATGAAAGGAATGCAGACAGACTAAAAAATAAGATGAAAGATGGGGACGGAGTCATATTTATGCTCTCCGCTTAGCGTCACATTCTCTGATTTGGATTTGACGCAGATTCTGTCGGTGATCTTTCATATTGCCTTTCATCACATGAGAGAGACGAAAACATCTGTAGGATACCTTGTTCGGTCTGTTCTACAGAGAAGACGAGACAGAGGGCCCCTGTGTGAGTATATCCCATGTAAACAGGGCCCTGTGCATTGTGTGAATTAGGTGGATTAGCCCCTGCTTTTGTTGGACATGGTGTGTACACACGGACACTGATTCAGCTCTCCAAAAGCCATTTTGGCCCTCACAACTTTAAGGAAGCCTTACATTCTTAGGAGATGGTCTAAATGGGGGATTCCTTTTGAAGCAACACGGCATTCATTATTGTGTTGGTTCAGGTTTTGTTTGGCAAAATGCAAAAACATTGAATTCAGTCGGAGCCTCCATTATAGTTTAGCCTGCAAAGACGAATGGAAAACATCCTGTTGGTGTCTTAAACTCGTCAAACGAAGCCCCGAATTCGAGTAATAACCCAGTGAACACAGGCAGAGATAAATACCTTTAATTAGACCTATCGAATCTATAATTATTAGTTTTGATTGACTGATATTATTGGTGACATGAAATTGGAGCATGTGGAACACCCACCCATACAGTCTCATCGACCACCCGCCGCGCGTGCACGTGATTTTGAGGTGTAAATAAACATTTGCACGTATTTCTTCATATTTCCAGTTTTTGAACAATTAAGACAAACAATTTAAGGACTGGTTTATTAACGCCGCCCAATTAAAACATCCCCCAGAACCAATTTGTCTTCATATCAGCTGTCCTACCACGATTTCTTCCAAATATTTTCAAAATCGTTGCGAGCGGGTTTCGTCCCTCACGTCTGTCAGGTGCGATCCAACAGATGTGACTTAGATGATATTTTAGAGTCCGTGATTTTATTTTTTCGTAATCTTTGCCGTTTGAATAGAAACATAGTTTGTTTTTTTTCCGATCTGTTCTGCTCCCATAAACTTTTGCTTAGTCCACTTCGTTTCATGTGTCCTCACTAAAAATATGAAATGCAACAGATGTCGGAGACAAAAGAGGGAAATTTAATGGGATACCGATAAAAGTCAAACTGGCCGATATGCAACGCCATGGCCTCTTTACGATTCATGATTTTAGTGGCCAAAGAAAAACTAATTGGAAAACAGTTTTAATGCGGATTTTGTAATAAGAGTACATCAGAAGGCCCGTATAGGCCCCCTCTCTGCGTGACGTTTTCATCAGTATTCATCCACCTGTAGCTTCAAGGCTTCTGTTGATTTTGAAATTAATAATGATTGTTTTCGCAAACTACTCTACTCCCATCATTTGAGTTTGTTGTTTTTTTGTGCTGGTATTTGGTGAAAGTCATTAAAGCCGTGCTGTTGGAGAATAGATTAAAAACTTTAAAACGAGGACAAAAAAAGTGCTTTCAGAGTACTAATTTTGACACTCAGCTTCTTAAATATTTAATTTTATGCATTACTGTGCTTTTTAGTTTGGCTGAGGACCGATAAAACCGACGAAAAAAAAGTTAATGTAAATTAAATCTAAACTTAACCAAAGCTATGTTTGTTGTATTTTAATTTATAGAAAATCGTCTTTTTTCTTTTTTTTTCTTTTTCTTTTTCTTTTCTTTCTTTCTTTCTTTTCTTTTTTTTACAGCAGAGGGTATTACGGAGTAAGCTACTGATATTCGACCCACAGTCTATTTGTCATAAAAAAAAAAAACATTTTCCATTATTGGCGCTTGCAGTGGTTTTGATTTTTCATCACTCAAATGTAGCTGTTTGAAAAAAGTACGTTTTCTATTGCAATTTAGAAGCCCGCGCTGACTGACTTTGATTGTGCTTAATATGAAATGATTTTGCGTCTTTGTGCTTGCTTGTGAGTAAGCGGATTAGACTTGGAAAGATGAGTTTCAACATGTGGTGATAACCTCTTCAAAGAGGAGAACAGTACAGCGGGTCATCGCAGTTTCTTATATTTCATTTACTTCATTCATGTGTTTTTTAAAGGGCCCAAAAAATATCAAGCGCCAGCTTACAAGATTTGAACTGAGTTAAGGGCTAATAGTCTTCAGGATACACATATACAAACCACATCTGAGGTCTGACTGCGCCATTAGTTTATCAGAAGGAATAAAGTTTTATGATTGAGGTTAGCCTGTTTATATGTAGGAACAAGATCCATTGCTTTTAAAATCACGTTTTCTGGATATCAATATCTATGCCTGGATATTTATTAGTTAAACGTAGGCCTTCAGTCATACAGTTGTCGCATGTATCATGGAAACCAATTTAATCTATGAGCAAAGGGTTATTTAATAATTCTACCTTGTTTTTCCATGAGGTACAAAGTTGTATTTGGTCTGTGTTTTTAGAAAATGTAGAATGTGTCTGGTCCTCTAAGTTATAGATACTCTTGTCCAACAATCAGGGGAAATCACAGTAATTCAGCAACTACTTCAAAGTAAAATGCCTCTGGAGTCACTAAGCAAAGAAAGAATTAATTTGCATCACATTTTCTAATTAAAAACGAAACTTTTTTTTCTGTGTGCAAATATATAGATATTAGGGTCCAGCTTACTGTGCCTAAAATGGCAAGAAAAATAATGGAGAATTTCACATGTTAGACTCACCTCTGCTTCCAATGTAAAAGAGTCCTTAAAGAAGTGCGGTGCGAATAATAACTGAGGCATTATAGGACTTAACTATTAAGAAATTCCATATGTTTAACTGTAATATATCACATAGATTGCAGTCAAACCTTGACACTTTTTAGATGACAAGTATGAGCACAATTTTATATCAGGTCTCCTGATAAAGATGAGTGTTCCAGACTGAGAAGCGAGTGTTTGAGAAAGAGTTATCAAACTAAATGAGGGAACTAAAGTCATTCTGTGTTTCACATCTTAATGGATTTAAAGACAGACCCATTTAATTCACTGGCGTGCTGAACACTTGTATTCACGTGTCTAATTTTACACAATACAGTATGTCTGTGGAGCTAATTGTGCCTAATTGTGTGTGTTCTGGAATGTATGGGCTCATCATAGTTGTCTTGTTGTCTGTGCCTCCATGTGCCTGTGTGCCAGTGTCAGTGTGTGCCCATATGTGAGTGTATGCATGCTCCACTACTCTGTATCTGTGTGTGTGCACCCATGTGTGCTGTATGCAGCCTATTAGTGGAGTTTAACCCCTGTGTTCAGGGAGTCACATCCCCTCAACACACAGGCTCCATTCTTATTCTGAGCTTGCAGCACGTTAACATTTTACTCTCTTCCCTCCCCACCCACCCCGTTCACTTTTGTCCTAAGAGGGCAATTAAGGAAACAAACGTTTTCCCCAAGATAAGCTGGCTGCCAGCTTTGCATACTAATGTATTGCCAAGTGGTTACAAATAGTGAGTGCTCTAATTACCGGCACTATTTTCAATCAGAAATTGCTCAATTTCCCAGGATGAGGTCTCTATGGCTAGGAAAAAAGCCCAACCTGACAGGAGAAAGAGACAATCATCTCTATGTGGAGTGCGGCTGATTTTGTCTGGCTATGTGTGTGTCCATGTGCCTACGTGTGTGCATGCATGTTTGTGCGAACAAGTTCATCTTCCTCTGTGTGGATAGACCCCGGCATGACCCACTCTTTTGCTGTTGCCCTTGACAAGTCAAGAAATGGATCCTGTCAGCCTCTACAGCATTTAGCACCACAATTATCCCCTTTCACAGCCTGGCGGCATTAATGTAAACCACACCAGGCAGTAGTTGCCACTCAGTGATCAGCACGATGTGGTGCACCATCTCTGGGTGAGCAATTTGATGCAATTGTGTTGCTCTGTGATCATCAGTGCAAATCAGGCCCTGCTCATTTATTAAGCAATTTCTGCTGGAGAAAATGAGATGGAAGGCTGTTTTAATTTGGCAGGAGATAGTAATATCTGTAAAAGCAAAAATAATGGAGAATGTGGTTGACACCAAACCCAAAAAAAAAATGTCACTGAGTAGGGTGCATCAGCTCATCGGGGAGGGGGCTATTCTGAGAGGAATGGGCATCCTCATGTGGCCACCAGAAGTAGGGGGTAATGCAGACCAAAGTGACAAGGACTCAATCCCTGGATGTGAGAATGAGTCACTCCATAGGATGCGGATGCAGGACCCATCCGTTGGCCTTAGCTGACCTTTAGCTCTAACGGTGGCTAATGGAGGGCTGGCCCTCGATCAATGCACTGAGAGACTGGGCTCCCTATCCTTGCCCTTTCACCGGGCCAGGAAGGGAGGGATGCTGCCAGAAGCCACGCCGTGCAGTCATCGACCCTGCCACTTTTCCATCCTGTGGGTGACAGCTGCAGTGCCAATGAGCCTGGGGACGCCATGCTGCCCTGCCACGTAGGAAGGACAGCCAGAAACTCTGTCTCTGTGGTGATGGTGATCTGTTTGTGAAGATGACATCCACGTAAACAACCCCAGCAAACACGTTGGTGTCAGATTCTCATATGATGCATTAGTGTTGAAAACCTACATGAAAGATAAAACTTGTTTGAATCTGCCTGAAGTTGTGAGTTTTATCTTAAAACTTATTCAGAAGCTGTTCAAATTGTTATTATTGTTATTATTTGACTGCTATTATACAAATTACAACTATACATATGATAAGATGCAAATCAGTCGTAGTTGTTAGATCTGCAGTGTAGCGTCTGTACACACAAAGAGGTAAAGTCACCTTTACTTTACTTTTATTGCATTTGTTTATAAAACGTTACAGTCGCATTTGAAATTTAGGTGTTGTTGGTAAACCTTTTATGCCGCACTATGTTTTTGTGCTTGGTGATGTACTTTGTAATCCAGATGGCGCACCACTGCATACCTTTTTATCAGAACACACTCTTCTGCAAAGAGACAACATTTGCATAAAAACACCAAAAACACCAAAAAAACCAAAAATGAAAATGAAAATATTTAGTGCGCATTTTAATTGCAGAGACTTCCAAACATGACGATGTTCAAAATAGTAGCAGATGAAACATTCTCTCCATATGGAGAGAGAAAAGAAAACATCCAAGAGGTTTAACACAGATTGTTCTTTTTATTATCATTAACAGTAATGTGATTTTGAAGCCCTCTGTGACCTCCTCACAGCAGCACCTCATTTCAGAAGTCATTCATTAGAACAAACAGAAGGCAGGCAGAAAGACAGCGAGGAAGAGACATGGGGAGCGAGCATAGTGTAAAATAAATTAGACTGTTCTTGTTAGATGAACCACTTTGAGATGGTGAAAGAAAGCATGCTTCAGAAATTCAAAGGCAATCCAATAGTACTGTATTTGGAGATGAAGATGTCATGTGGAGCCCGTGATCCAGTTGTTAGTTTGTGCTATATGTAATCAGTCAAACTACTGTCCATTTTGGACTGTAAGGCCCAAGGGAAGCCTTAAAATAAGGGTCTGAGGAGCATGTTCGGACTGAGATTGGGTAACACAGCTGTTCTTCAAGACCATTGGTTGATGTTGACTGCGGTGAAACTAATCAAAAAGCTTCTTAAGTCTCCTCTGATATAAATGGATGGTACAGTCTTTCCCTTATGATTTGCACCAGTGTTTACAGAATAAGGTTTTTATACTACAGTGACAGCAAGGCCGCATCTCTTCATTATGCACTTGGCCTCTCTTCTTATCTGCACCCCTGGAGCTGCTTATCTTACCAGGTCTGTAAAGGTCCACATGACCTACCGCAAATATGCAAATATGTGAATCTATACATACGTGAGAATAAAATAGTAGAAATGTGATACAGAGTGGCCAGAGGCTCGGCTGCACGAGGGGGGCAACAGTGGGTGGGGGAGGAGGGTGAAGCGAGCTGTGTGGATACTTGGAGTGGTGTGACAGACTCCCCAGCCTCCTGGTAGGATTTGTTGGAATGTGAGAGAGGAGGATTTTAGCACCAGGCGAGCCACGCCAGAGTGCTGCAGACTTCATGCCATCTGTCTCAGCCTCCATCTTCTCTTTGCCAAACTCATCAGACCTTTATTTCCTCTCCCTCTTTCTCCTTCTCATCCCTGTTCACAAGAGTAGCGGACATACTGAGATCTGCTAATGTATTGGAGGGAAAAAATGGTCCAGCATTATAAAAAGATTCAAAATCTCAATTGATTAATATGTATTCTTGGAGCTTATTGTCCAGCAGCCCTGACGAAGATAAAAATGTGTGTTTTATAGTCCTGCCATTTTTTACTTGACCAACAGGGAAAGAGAGAGAGTTATTCATACCATAGATGATATGGTGCTCAGTTAATAATAAAATGTGTTTCAAGTGACCGCCAAAAAGTTTACTTATTTAATGCTCCTTTATAAACAAGCTCTTGCCTTTGAAAAAACTGTTGGAACAATGTACACATATTGTGTTATAATATGATTAAAAGGTATGCTATAAATATTCATTCTTTGTGTGGAAGTAATTATTTTCTCTATGACTAAACTCAGGACTTTTTAATGATGCACTTTACACAATCAAACTGTGGATTACAGATTTGAAGTTCCTTACACACCTTCAAGTTCATAAAAATGTAGCAGATCCTTCACTATATACTACCAAATTACTTCAATGTATAGACATATATATTGTTGGGCTTCGATTAAATCAAAAGCAGACTTATATTTCAAATGATGGTGTGACTCTGTGATGTTTGGGTGGGACTGATCTCTCACCCTGTCTCCGCATGTGGGCGGCTAGGGAGGAGGCTGAAGGAGATCACAGGGAGGAGCTGTACCAGCTCGATGTCCTTAACCTGTTCTGAGAAGGGCAACAGAGGGTGGAGGGACTGGAAAGGAAATGCACCCTTCGACCGAAATGGAACACCAGGTGGCAGGAAGGGGGCAGGAGGCCTTTGAAGCTGACCCTTGGTCTCTGCGCTGGGATGGCCTCAACACTCGATTCAGCCAGAGATGGCAGGGAGGGGAGCCAGGTGCCCCCAGAGGGCCTTTAGACCACACAGATCTATTATGGTCGAGGCGGAGAGATTAGGCCGGGGCTCAGCCCCATTGCTCCCAGTCATATCACTGTGAAGACAGCCAGAGTCAAGCAACTGCATCCTAACAAGCAGAAACATACTGAGTAACGTCTCGTATCATCATCAAAACTGTGTGTTTTAGGAAGATTTTCCACTGTGAAATTCTGTCAAATCAGTATGTAAAACGCTGCATAATTGGCACGTGTGCACACCTGATAAATGGAATAAATGTAGATCAGCAGAAAGCTTTTGGAAATGACAGAGTAAATGTTGAAAGCAATAAAGACAGAAACGAGTTATTTCAGCATGTTAATACATATTTATTTATTTTTCACTGAATATAAACAGAGATGAATGAGCTGGGGAAAAAATGTACTCTAGAAGGTGTAGGGAAGAAAGGATCAATCAAAATCAGAAAATAAAATACACAAGATTCAATCATACTACATAACAGGAAGATTGGAGCATGATCAAAGAGGTATACAAACACAACAATATCACAAAAGAAGAAAATTAAATCAGCAGATGTTTGTGTGCAGGAGTACACATGTTATTGTGACAAACTGCTAAGTGATCCAGTAAACTGCAGGCATTATATTGAATTTGCCAGAAGGAAAACATCAGCAAATACTCAACAGCAGTTGTGTGATTTGGGATACTTTTGCCATTAAAACACAGATGTAAAACATCCAGTGATAAAGCTGCAGCAGTTTATTAGGAGATAAGCTTGCATGTCTATGAATCAGGCATCCCATTCATAGTGTTCAGCTAGGACAACACTAGGAATGCGCAGGCTGCTTTGTATTTTGGCCAGCTTTGGAGGAGGTGAGTGCTATCAGTGTCTACATGCTCATCCCTCTGTATTTCTATGTTTACTGCACACAACACGCAAGCAAACACACATTTCCACGCACACTTACACTCACAAACAGAAACTCAAATCCTGATCCTCACCCACCCCCCTATGCTTCCCTCCTCGGGTGAGGAAATGACACTCAGCGAGGATGGCTGGGAGAAATGAAGACATGTCTGATTTCCTCAGTAGCCAATGGTGTTTCTGCTCTCTGTACTCTCTGCCCTCTGATAGGTCTTTGTAACTCTCTTCATCTCAAGGCCCATGTCATTCCTTCTAATCTCCTTCCCAAACACAAACGGGCCAATCCTGAGACACGGCTCAGGGGCTGGGGAGGGATGACGCAGCTGAGGCATGGAAAGAGTGAGGGATGTTGTTCAGGAGGAGAGAAAGGTGCATCAGAAGCTGATGGTGGTGTGAGAAGGAGCCAATGTGTTATTATTAATAAAGCATTAAAAAAAAAACGCGAGCACATCAAAGCATACAGGGGCTGTGCTATCATACATGAAAGTAACGCACTATGGCTTAATGTTTCCTAAGGCATGTTATGGTGACGTCGCTTTGATTTGAAATGCATTGTGTGGAAAATGGATTTACAGGAGTGGAGGGAGAAAGCTTGGTGTGGGTTCAGACCATAATTTAAAACCTGACCTCATAGGCTCTTCAAAGTCTCTGTGAGCGTGGATATTTAGGATGTCCTTACAGTATGTGTGACAGACCTAAATCACAGCCTCGCAAACAACAAATAAACACATATATACATAAGAGCGGGATGAGGAGAACACCTGCAAAAACAAAAAATGAAAATTTTAAAAAGTCTAATATACACACGATGTTCACTAAAAATACTTGGAACTAATTTTTCAATTTGCTTTATTCTTTCTTTTTTGAGCAATTGGTGTCGCACCTGATTGAACTGTGTTCCTTTGCTGTTCAAGGCCTGCAGGAAGTCAGAGATTTTTTTTTTTCATTGCTACACCATGGCTAGGTAATTATCCTAATCTACCCTCCTCCCGTGTTCCAGCGCCAATGCCATACTGGCTCAGACCACCTCTGTGGCTTCATTATCGGTGCTAGGACTCACTAATGGCTTTAGAGCATCACTGTGCAGGCTGCTAGAGAAGAGAAACCAGGGTAAAGGGGAACGAAGAAGACGCAGGAGGAGGAGAACAGAGAAAAGAGGGAAGGAAAAAATGAGGTACTGAAGAGCAAGGGTTGCCCTGAAGGTTAACATCTCAATCATGAGGGACAATGCTCACTATAGTCCAAATGCTTCGTCATCTTAAAGGCATATTTTACTGACTGAGGATGAAGCTAAAGTGCATAACACCGTTAAAAAAAGAGGAAATCAGGAGATCGTCCGTACGTGGAAGGTCGCTGTGTCTACGTGTCCATCTGATACAAACACCCACCTTGCATTTTTGAAAGAGCTAAAACCTCATAACATACAGAAGGAATGGGGGTGGGAATACAGTTTCACGTTTTTGTTTTTTTGTTTTTTTCTGACAAATGACACCCTGACAGTTGGAAAAAAAATGTTGGGGTCCCTGAACAGATTTCTCAGTTATAAAAATAAAATGTGTTGGATTAGACAAAGACAGACATCTTACATTCTACTTTTGAACCCCAATGAGAGCCACCCCACCCCCACTCCGTCTGTGCCATGATTGTTGTTGTTGGGTTTTTTTTCCCTCTCTAGAAATGTCATATATTAAAGATTCTATATGGCACAAACAGACACTGATTTCTTCCATGTGTACACAACATATAGGATGACAGATTGAGATGGTGTAAAATGTCTGCGCATCACTCTAAATAGGCACGAAAGCTTTAAGCGTTCTTTATATACCCAGTAGGGGGGCCTTTTAGTCCAGTCAATCTATTTCAAAAGAGGGCCCAAGAATTTTCAGTAGTAAGATTTTTAAATACTTTTTATTTTTCCTAATAACATTCTGCCACACATAGTGAAAATACCTTGAAGTACCTTAGTAAAACTTGTTGTTTTTTTGAGGTCAAAAGCAAGTTCGACATTTTAGAGTGATGTGGTAAGGTAACAAAGTATTTACCTTAGAGGGTCTATGTACACCGATCCACTTATTCAATAATATTTTCAATAAACATATATTTACAAATGTTCAACCCTTACATTTTTGCCAGATTTTCCTGTTTGTAACACCTTGATTCTATTGGTGTACCTGCATTTAAAATAGGTATAAAATGTCCCTTATAGCCACTGTGCTATTTTAGAAATATTAATAAGAAAAAATTAATAAATGCACTTGTATTGATTACATTTATTAAATTTCTTTAGTTTTCAAATGATTGACACCAACTCACTCTTGCTTTACAATGGTTTGAATCACCCTTTCCCACTCCGACACCCTTAGCTCTCAACAGTGGTACATTATGCAGGTACAATGATTGAGTGGGAATGTGACCATCTGTGGTTGGCCACTCACCTCCAATAAGTTGTTTAAAGAAAGGAAATATTTAATATTTTTTACCATATAACACAAAATAAAACATTTAATATCATGTAAAAATACTGTTTGCTCTGAACTTGATATTTAAAGTAAATTAGATTATTAGGGGCTTATTATGGGTAAGTTTAAGGATGCCTGGACCATAGCATCTGAGGTAGTGTGTACGCTGAAAAACAAGAATCCGTTTAATCATTTATGTATCTATAACATTTATCAACATGTATATCTGAAGTTTCCAAGAACCATTTAATAATTTATATACTACGACAACTATTACCATGTATGCCTTAAACAGTAATAATACATTGAAAGTACTAAGCTGAGTCAGTATTTTTTAACCAAACTGGAGGCTTCCACTGTTGCAGCCAGTAGAGCGGTATGTTGAGAAAGGTTTTACATGCCTTTTTCTGCACTTATCATTAGACCATTCATCCCTTTGTCATTTTTTTTTTTTTTTGTTTCTAAATGACATCAGAAACAGCAGTATGCGACATCAAGTAAGGTCACTGGCTCAAAAGACCCTGGGTCATTTTTTTTTTTTTTTGTCAGCTGA